AGCTATCCTGCATGTACAGGTTGAGCTGGTTTTGATGGGTTTTTTAACAGCCTTTTAATGTTAATCTGATTAAATCTTCACCTGGTTTTTTAATTCAGAGCAAAACTTTAGGCTAAGCTGAAAATACAACATAGTTACTTTGAGTAAGGAAGGAAAGGTGAAGGAAGAAGCAAATAAATATTTCTGCATGGGCTTGGCTTCCATTAGCATTACTAGGATTACCTGTTGCCAGATTCTTTAATGTCTGTGACAGCATAAAATCCAATTTCATCAGGGATAAAATATAAGTTAATTGTGTTTTTCTTGTTGCAACTAGCCAAACACCCTACCTTTCTTAACTTCATTAAAAGGGCTTCATTTTCTCTTTTTTTTTTTTTTTACTAGGATAGAGAAAAACTTTCTCAGATGCTTTTCTTAGAAAGTAATTTCAGTTCAGAGACATGGAAAGATATTAAAAAGAAATCCAACAAACGGAGTGGGTGTTTTACAAGCCTACGTGATGTTAAAGTGGTCTGCACTGGTACAAATTCATACTGCTCAGCTTTAAGTATTTCACTTGTGTGACTTAGGTATAAATTTAGGTTTAATCATAATCTGCAGCATCTTTGAAATGGAGTCTGAGCTCTCTGAGGCTGTTAGGACTGCAGGTGTGTCCTCCTCAGTCAGGCAGTTCCAGTGACCACTGCTAAAGCCCACCTTGGCTCCTATCAGGGAAAGCATCCCCTGGTTACCTTCCCATGGTAAAAGGTGCTGGGTAGAGGGTGGTGTTGTTCCAGGATCCCTGTGAGAGGACATGGAGTCCTCTCCATGGAGAGTTTTGCCCCTCTTAGTCAGCCTTAATCTCACTAAAGAGGTTGTACCCTTAATTTGGGCACATCAGTGAACTGACTGATAAACTGAGGCTGGATCCAGAAATGCATAATCACAAAGACCGATTTTGCTGATGGGTGGGGAGGCAATAGCAGGTATTTGGCACCTCGTTATCAGTATCTGACACAGTGCCACACTTGGTGGCAAGTGTTAAGGCATGGCAGAGGCTGTGGGACTGTGTCCACCCCTCACAGTCCCTGCTATAACCAACCCTGCCAACTTTGTATTAATGAAGTCACGAACTGAAGTGGCTCGTGCTGTTGGGATGGGTTTTCCACAAGGCATCAGACCTCTGCTGCAGGCACGCTTCTGCCTGAGAGGGGCAGAGAACACAATATTTCTAACAAGCACTGAAAAAGTCAATAGGTGACCCTTACTGAGCTCCCTAACTTGGAAATTTGGTACTCCAGCTACAACCCCTCATGCTAAACTGTTTTCTTGAGAGGAAGAGTGGGGAGAATTTGGCTGTAATTGTACAAAACAACTAATTTAAGAAAGAGCAATAAAAAATGGATCTACATTAGCTTCCTTTCAGTTAGGGAAAGTGAAACTAGAAACTAATTTTTATTAATGAAAAATCTGAAAAAAATTAATCATAAAATTTTCAAGTTCCTATTTACGAAGCGCTGTATGACAGAAAAGCAGTGGAGAGCTCTGTTGTTGAAGGGAATTGGTAGGATGTCTAAATATTAAGGCATCATTTGGTCTTGGAATACAAATTTAAATGAGTGATTTGACATGTCACAATAATGCCAAAATTTTGGTCACCATCCCAAAAAAAAACAAAAAAAAAAAAAAAAAGGGGAGAGAAGTGAGAGATGCATATACAGATGGCATATTATTGGTAGATCAGGTAAGAAAGCAGCACATAAATACATTACTGATTTTATTTTCTTTATTTAGTGAAAAGCTGTCTGACCCTGCTGTTATGTAGTGTCATATTGAAGGTGCTATACTTACTTAAAAACAAGATTTCATTTACTATTTTACATTTAACATTTCATTTACTGTTTTACTCCCAGTTAGAATAAACTTCACTCAGGTTTATATGCCTAGTGTAAGTGTCTAAGTGAGCTCTCACTACCACTGCTTGCTGTGATACTATTCACTACAGAGACCACAGATAAGAGCTTTTCCTTATCTGCATTTGTCCACATGCAGACTGCATGAATTTCAGAGGTAAGAGGGTTTTTTCAGACCTGCCCGGGTGAAAGTTAAAGGGCAGCTCTCCAGAGCATCTAATAGCCAACTGCTAAGCACAGCTGCACCAAAAAAGCAATCTCAAACTAAACAGCTTATCCTCCACTGTATATGTACTGAAAATATTTCCAAGGCTTTCAGAAAAGTCAGAACAAAGTCCCCATGTTGAATAAATATTTCCTTACCTTTGATAATTAAGAATATTTTATCCCTTTCCCTACTTTTACTAATTAAGAATATTTTATACCTTTAAACCTGAAAGATTCTGCTAAACGAAATAGAATTTGAGGAATACATACACACTATGCCTCTATATTAAATTGTGCAACTCATTTATTCAAAGTAAATTCAAAAACATGGTATCCTACTAAATCTTTTCAATTCATCCTGCACTGCTGGAATCCTGGATGCTGAGAATTTTAAACTTTCTGTGCTGAAAGGCAGACCCACAAGAGCATTTGACCTGAGGCTGTGGAGAAGACTTCCAAAATTGATGAATAGCACTGGGATTACAAGTGTGTAGTTAATTAGAAGTGTATAATATCACAGGGTGGAAAATTCATTAGGTTTCTAGAATATAGTAATGGATATGAAGCAAGATGGAGGTTTTAGGGTGGAGGTAAGTTGTTCTTTTTCTTCCTTCTTCTTCCTTCTTCTTCATGGGTTTGGATGGTATCTTGCAATTGGACAGAAAAGTCCGCATTGTAGGTCTTGAGGCATCAGTTATTGGGTTAAAAGGGAAAATAATCTAGGTGTCATTTCTTAATTGTGTAGTTTAGCTCTAGTTCAGCCTAACAAGACCTTGAAACTGTACATCTGGGGCCATTTTTGTGCTGTTTTCCTGCATGCAAGGTCTGGTGCAGATGGCGTGCTGAAGTTTTGATAAGATAACAATAAACAAGAAGCTGAAGACTGAAAAAGGCCAATGCATCTCTCGTTCCTGACACAGAACTGCCCCAGGAGGGCTTCCCCTGTCAGGGGAGCCCCCAGGGAAAAGCCCAACATGGGGCCAGCGAAGCCGTACTGCACATACCATTGACTGCAAAATAATCCCAACATAAATTTAAAAACAAAGAATTGAAAAATCAGTCAGCAGTTTGTCAGTGAATTCTAGGCCTGCAAAACCACCCTGCTATGAAATGGCCAGAGAATTTAGAGAAACTCTGTGCAGCTGGCAGATGGCCACAAGCTCAACCTAAGGTAGCTGTCATAATTGCAAAAAGTATCCTTATTCTGATTGTACTTACTGGTACTGTTATTTCTTTTTGTCATCAAGAAAAAGCAAAAGCCTCCATGGAAAGGTGCTCAGCAGCACATCCCAGTGTTGTGGAATGACTTGGCTGCAGCACAGGATTTCCAGGCATACCCTGTGGAAGCAGCAAACACCAAGGATTTGACAAACCTTGGACTTGTGGAATAAGCATATATGTCAAAGACAAAGAATTACAATCAAATGGATAGGAAAGCCTAGAAAATAAAAATATTGGCAGAACCCAACACTTAGGATTATGGTACAAAAGTCATGAACTGGTGAGGCAAGTCCCCTGTCCTCTGCACAAGGTCTTGCAAATGATTTCTGCAGGGAGTCAAACAACAATTTAAGTAAGCAAGAACAAGGCTGGGGAGCTCTGTGTAAATACTTGTCACTGACTGATCTCTTACACCTTGAAGATGCATTTCTAGAAAGGAAAAAAACCCTGAAAATTGTCCTTCTCGTAGTGTATTCAAAAAAGCTTAGAAGTGCCATTATATTAGTCTTTCTCAAACCTCAGAGAAACTTTTCCAAATGTCTGTAGAGGCAAATATTAAATAAATGGCTTGCTGAAATAATGGAACAGTTGTTGGACTTTATAACATGCATATTTTTAAAAGAAAGAAAATATACTGGGAGGGGGAGTAATTTTTTTTTGTTAATTGTTTTAAAGTCCATAATTAGAAATACATTGTTACAGTTTGTACTCATATCAATTTTATATCAGAGAAAAATAAAGGGTTTTTTTTGTAACATTGTTAGATAAAACAGTAACTATATAAATTTAAGAAAGCAAATCACTTATGCCAAGTTAGTGTCAATTAGCATTATGGATGACAGTTTAAGGAGGATTATATGATGTATTGCAGGTTTGAAACAACTAAAAATAGAAAAGCTATACAAGCCATAAAAATTGCACAATGTGCAGCTTTCAGTTCCAGGAAGATTGTGTTTGCAATCCTTGACTACAAATGGAGTTTCTTTCTGACTGTTGGGATAGATCTTCTGGGGCCATAATTAATACAGACAGTCCCAAGCTTTCCAAATGACTCAAACATTTAAAAATATGATATGATATTAGGCTTAAAGCAGTGAAATTTTTATAAAATAATTTAGTGTTTGCCTTCCAGTTTCGGAGCTGGGTTCACAGTTTCAAAGTATGTTCTAGCACCTTGAGGAAGCTTAAAACTGGAAATAAAGAATGCTGTGTAACCAATGTGATACTAGCAATGGGGATTTTAGAAGACAGGAAAAATCCAAGATGAATATTGTAAGACACGTAATACGGTCATAGGATTCCACGGTGCCTGCTGCAGAATTCCTCATTACACCAAGTCCTTAACTCAGGATGCTTATTTTTAACTCATCACACTAAAAAATTTCAGAGAAAATAATGTGTTTTGAGGATGCCCTTGGGAATCATCAACAGTCCCCAAGGGCTTCCACAGCTCTGCAATTCAGATGAGCCTTTGAAAAACTCATAGTTTTCATGTTCACATGCTCTTGGTTTGAAATAAGTCATTTTGGTTACCTCCTGGAGCTGACATCTTCAGAAAGCTCAGGTATTGCTTTCCAGCCATGCCATCGCAAGAGTATGTCCTGAATGTTGCTTATTTAGGAGTGTGGCTCCACCTGGGAGCTGTGTGTCAGCACAACAGCCCGTGGTGTGCAGGAATACCTGTGTCGAGGGATGCTCCCAGGGCAGGGGCTTCACTAGAATCTAGGTCCGGAGTGGGGAGGAGGGGGTCGAGGGTAGAGGTGTCCCTGTGCCATCGCTCTGCTGCTCCCGCCTTGGGCTGGCTGGGGTCCCTGCTGCTCCCTAGAGAAGAGATAAGGCTCAGGGGCCGCATGCCAGGACAAAGAGAGAAGCAGCACGTTCTGCTTGTCTGCCAGCCAGCCAGCAGGCCAGCTAGAAAACACAGCCTTAAGTGGCTTGAAAATAGTAATATATTTTATTTAGAGACGCCTGTTGACTTTATCCTTGTGTTTCCAAAGCCGTGACAGTGCACAGTGGCCTGAAGAATCCAGGATACACAAGGTGAGGCACTTGTAGGATTGATACAGTACAGCAACCAGGGGGTGAAACCTCACACTCCCTTTGCCTCCAAAGAGCCGTAGCACAAGTCACAGCTTTCTGCTGTAATTTGGCAATTAACACCAAGAAACCTCTCAATCCCAAAAAAAGCAGCCGTAATGAGGGAAGGGAAAAAGCTGGTAGGTGATGCGCTGGGTTGCTCACTGAGTAGAGCAGTTCTGCAGAGTATGTGCTGGGCAATGACACAGCATGGTGACAGGACAGCAGAGAATTAGTGACACTGCAGAGTATTGTTGACAATGCAGAATATTGGTGACACTGCAGAATATTGGTGACAATGCAGGGTATTAGTGACACTGCAGAGTATTAGTGACACTGCAGAGTATTGGTGACACTGCAGAGTATTAGTGACACTGCAGGTTATTAGTGACACTGCAGGCACTCTGCACTCCTGGCTGCTCAGTGGGAGCACAGGAGCAGGACTCCCAGACTGGCTGAGCTGCCAGCCTGCAGCACAGCAAGACATGCAGCCCGGTTTCTCTCACAGCCCACAAAACAAGGGAAGGTTGGGGACATGGTGACAACTCCAAATCCTGTGGAGCTATAGATGTGCAGGGAGTTAGGAGCTTTGCTCCAGGGGAGCTGGGAATGTTGCTGGGTACATGGAGATCAGAGCCAGCACACTGGACAAAGGCAGGGTCTCATGTTGATAAAAGCTCATTCATGCATTTGATTAGGTTGCATAAACAAACAGAATTGTGGACTCCCTGAATTCTGCCCTGACCCTCCTGACTGAGCAGCATGGTTATGGCATAAACAAAGTTTTGCAGGTCAAATACACCCCAGACACAGCTGGCATGGAAACACCAGAGCCTGAGGTCTGAGCAACGCTGCATCCAGGCAGGCTCACTGGCAGGACTGGAGGGCTCACACAGATTCTGAGGGCTGTGAAACCATGGAGGTCTTTTTTGGGCAAGGAAAACATGGTGTTCTGGGAAGCTGTGATCTCTTTAAATAAAACAGTAAAAATTTTGTTCGACTCTGAAAAATGACTGTTATTTAAATAATTTATATAGTTCTAATAACAGTATAGTCATAAAAGGAACATTACATTATTCAAGGAACAAAGCAGAACTACTGCAGTATCTAAGTCAGTTGCAGTCAGAGTAGTGTATGACCCATTTGCCTATTATTTCTTAACAAACTGTATGTGAATTCTTGCAAAATAGCAAGTATCAACTTGGAATTTGTATCTTTTTTCCCTTGCTCTGAGTGGAATGAACAAGATCTATTGGATTATGGGCAATATAAGGAGAGATACAGTAATGAAATATTAACCAGTGGTAATTGATGCATAATAAATTGATGCATATTAAAGAAAACTTAGCTTCACAGAAAGTTATTTTACTGGTAAGTATTTTAATTTTCTAGAAAATTTGCTTAGAAAACTTCAATCTTGAGCAGCTCCTTCTTGAAAAAGATTGAGCAATTACCATCTATTTATTTGTGAATAGCAGAAAACATTTCCCACTTGTTATCACACTATTATACGCACAAGCCCTGAATCACAGGTTTCATGACAACTCACAAGAAGCAGAATAGAGATAAATTGTATGAGGCACATGGGATTTACAGCAATTAATTCTTTGGCTTGTGAAAGGTTTGTCCTTCATAAAAATTCAGTGAGTTTTTTTCCTTTAATTTGAATGGAGGAAGAACTCGAGACTACTGTCTTTAAAAGTATCTAGACCTAGAAAAAGAAAATGAGTCATGTTTTTGTAATGAAGAGCTGAATTTGTAATGTAATTCACACAATGTAAGAAACAAAGAAGAGTTTGCTGTCAGCAAGCACACACTAGTTATTAAGATACAAAAAGGGTGGACCAAGGCTTAGTGGGTCAAATTCTGACCTCATTTGCCTTTACTCTTCTGAGTTTAAAGATGCTACTCTGGATTTTCATCAACCTCAATGAGATTGAACTCTGGTGTTCTGTAAGCAAAAAAAGTGGCATTATTCATGATTTGCAGAAACCTTTTTCACAGAAGACATTGTTTAAAATAGGCACTTCAGGTACTTTCTTTCCACTATTTATTGTTTTAAAGTCATTTTATGAGTGTAGTAATTACATCTATATCTTCCCAAGAAGAGACATCCTGAAATACAGGACTTAAGTAATTTCTATCCTCTGACACTTGACCAAGCAGCAGGATAAGGTAGACATGGTATACTCTTTGGAAAAGCTTTTTCGTCATTAAGCATTAAAATATCTCAAGATAATATTTATGCCTATACATGTCTTCTTCATTTTAATTAAGTGATGACACAGTAAATATAGTGAGCAAAAGAAGGAATCAAGGCGAATATCACTGTAGTAATTAAAATATTCCGCATTATACAACATTGTGTTGCATTAAAAAGCCCATGAGATTTTGCTGCTGAGCTGAATACAGATGATACTTCACTCACAGACATCACACAGGTGCATCAAAATGCTCCTAAACCCCTGTTAGACAAATGAAGGACAAAGCTTTGGTTGCAGACTTTCCCTCATGAGCATGTTAAACGTAGCAGGGCTGCGATAACATCACAGCTTTTTGGGCTGCCTTTTCCATCCCAGCTGTTGAGAGTTTTGTCGCGTGCACTAAGCAGAATATTTTTCTTTGTTACTCTCATCAGAGTAGTAAGAAGCTATTGATTCTCTCTAGATTAGTTCTCTTGTCTTTCCTCATTCACATACACATGCTCTCTCTTCCCCACTGAAGCATGGATCAGGAAACCAAACGCAACAGAAAGCTGAAGTTTTCTTTGGCAGGTTTGCCAAGAAGCCCTAATGAAAGGGGTCAATGAGAGTCCCCATATTCCCATCGATCTACAAGCCACCATTCCCAGGATTTTCAAAGGAAAGCAAAGAGCTCTCAAAGCTGCTTTTCACTCCAACTCCAAGCCCCAGCAACTACACTGGGGTTCATACAACAAAGTCCTGGACAGAGTGCCTGGTGGGTTACTGTGAAGGTCTGGCTGTGCACAGCTAGTCAGAATGGGACATAAAATGAAGCTGATTTTGTCAAGCGCCCTACACCCCACCAGCACCACTGCACAAGGCTTTGGAATGCATGAAGGGGCACCTCCTTCCCATGACCCACAGGCCACCACGGGGGCAGGAGGCGTGTGACGGCTTCTACTACCAAATCAGCCCTTTGACTATCACTGTTATTATCCGAAGTGTTTGCTAGAATTATAGTTCCATTTAATTTATTATCAGTGCCCCAAGAACCCAGGACCCCACATCAGCTCCCCTGGGGCCACAGCCCCAGTCCCAGGATTGCCACACATCTCCACAGAGCCCAACCCTGCCCTGCTTGTCCTTGGAGGCCACAATGCTGGGCCCACAGCATGGTGGGCTGGGCTCCTCCTATCTCCAGGAATGTGCCTAATGCCAAGGCCTGGGGCTATCCCCAGCTGTCTCTCTCAGGTCTCTGTTCCCCAGGGGATTGCCATCCCCAGACCTCAGAAAGCAGCCACTCCTGCAGTGCCCTGACATGTATTTCTTTAATTGTCTAGTTAACTGCTTATATTCACAGTTGGGATTCTCCTTTGCTCTTGTTCAAGTATTTTAGAAGTTTTTCATTTTCACCAATCTTCATATGTGCATGTAGTAACTTAAATTTATGCTTCCCTTTTCCTACTGTATTTTGCAAAAGCTCTTTTTGCCTTCTGTCACGGGGCAGAAAAATGGAAATCAGCCTGTTTATTCCTGAGAAAAGAAGGACTGTAGAAAAACAAATGCTCCCCTAGTATCTCTCCTTTACACTTACAGAGACATCCTGTTCCCCAGTGATCCCGATTCCAAGCACTGGGATGCCAGGCTCAGAATGACTGGGGAAAGTTTCTCTCTGAAGCTCCCCTTGAAACTTGATTAAACTATCAAGTCAGTAAGGATTACAAGTAAAACAGCCAAAAAAAGATAGCTGTCACAGTCTTAATAGCTGGCAGACAGGAGTCAAGAGACACTGGACACTGGATTTGACCTAACATCCTTTTCTCTGTGTCCTGGGAGGTGGTGGGTCAGTTGTACCCCTGTTCTCTTCTGCTTTCCATTGGCTCATACCAACAGGAGCACTCTGCAGAGGTAATTCCAATCCTCCAAACTCTGTAACTGAAATTTTTTAAGGGCAACATGTACCTTCTTAAGGGCAATTGTATTTTCTCCAGGAAAGGTCCATCACATACTATAGAGTGTTCATAGGACTTTTCCCAGTCAATAATTGTCAAAATTTGTCAAACAAACTTTCAAAATGCCGGTCCCATTTCTTCAATGATCACTCTCACAAATCTAATGAACTGCATACAACAGTGGCTGAAGATCTCAACCAAATAAAAATTTTCATTGATTTCCCAGCTTTTGGTTGAAACCGTAAAACCTTTTATACTGCAATTTCAATCAACAACTTGGGGGGGAATACCCACATTATTTCTAATGAAGATCCCCTCAGAAGACTCAAAACCTTTACTCAACCTCCTAAATATTTGGCACAGCACATCCTTGCAAGCCTGAAATTATTACTCTGTTTGCTAGGGTTTCTTTTATTGTACTATTGTGCAAGACTGTTGTACTTTGTCATTTGTAGCACATTACCTCAGACTTGTCCAGGTACAAAGATGGACTTCTGGGATGATCAGGGTAATAGAGAGCCTATCATATGAGAAGACAGAATGAAGAGCTTGGCTTGTTTAACTTGGCAAAATAAAGGCTGTTAAGGGATCCAGTTGCTGTGTATAAATA